TGAAGTAGTTAATTATAAGCATAATAGAATTCATTCATTTTATTAGAATTTGAAAACTGGGTTTATTTTTTTAAAGTCAAGGAAAATACCTTTAAAAGAAAAAAGTCTAAGAAAATGCTAAGATAAACAAATTTAATCTTTCTCTTTTGAACTTGAAATCGCAGCGGAAGCAGAGGGAAGATCATAAGTAGCGATGTATCCCTTTTAGTTTGGTATTGATTATATACAGAGACCTGTCAGTGATTGCTGGTAAAATCAGGAACAGAATTATTTAGTTAAATAGCTTTGAAATTCAAGTAGAGAATAAACAGGATTATTAAAGACCTAAAAGATACTTTACACATTCACAATGGGGCCATAATTCATATCTCATTGCTAGGAAGCTTGAACCACTGGTGGTGCATGCGTGACTGTCCCATTGGGCTGCTTTTTATTAATTTTATTAGTAAAAACTCAGATAAAAGTGATTAGATCCGTCTGTATCGCTAGTGTTACAAGTCACATAATGGGACCATCATGCATGTACCACCAGTGGTTCAAGTCATGGGAGCATAGTAATCCTATATTTTTAGCATCTACATTTCAACCTACATGTCTGTATCAGGCTTGTATCCAAGAAATAGAACCAGTAGGACATATTCAAAATTAATTGCTTGGTTTTGGCATGCGTGATTATGGAGCTTGACTAGTCCCTTTCAGAACCACATGACAGACACTCAAGAAGGACAAACTGAATTCTTGGGCAGGACTTGAAGATATACCCTGGGTACAGACTTTATTCCTAAGAGAATACTCAGTTCTGTGTTAAGGTTATTGAGGTGATTGTATCAGGATCACCCAGGTTATCTGGGACAATCTTTGTTACTTAAACTGATTATAGACTTTAATCTTTTACAAAATACCTTTCCAGCAACATCTAGATTGGTGTTTTTGAAAAGTTAGCACTATAGCCTAGCCAAGGTGATTCATAAATGTTACCATCAGTGTCTTTTGCCAATAGTGTTTTTTTAGTCACAGTATTTTTCTTTATTGAGCTTATATTTTTATACACCTGTGAATAACAAAGAAACGATGCAGTAACTATACTGTAATAACCCTTCATATTAAGACATAATTCATCTTTATTCTGAATTTAGAAAGATAATTTAAAAAGTCATTCTTTCATGCCTCCCCACTCAGCTTCTTTATTATATTTTCATGCTAAATCTTCAGTTTTGTAGAATTGACTTAGAATATATAGTTCAGGCTAGCACACTACATGATACCTGGCATTCATCAATCTCCATTAGAAAAAGATTATTTCATAGTTATTGTATGCTCACCTTACAGTCACATTTGTTTTTTATGAATATTGCTACTATATTGCTGACTTATATTTGGCACATTATGACTCCCAAAGAGTTTATTTTGTGAAACAATTGTTTTTATAACAAACAGAAGTTATTCTGAAGCACAGTGCAGAGTTTCAGAATGAAGACTAATGACCTGTGGAGAAAGAAGTTCATATTGGAAGTGTTGTTTTAGTGTACACTCCATTACCTCTGGGAGAAGCAGTGATACTCTGCCAGTGAAGGTGGCTGTGCAGTATTTAAACAAGTTCTTAAGAGTTGTGTAAACTCTTTAGACTTTGGCAAACTTTATTTTATGATTTTCATTTCCAGATGAAGCCTAACAAATTTTAGTGTAGTGTCAAATGCTGTGGTAATGCCTTATAGATATATTTATAAATATATAATTTAAAGTGGTTAATTAATGAAATGTACATTTTAATGAATTCTGATGTTTTGTTATATTTTCATATCAGTGCTCCTGATATATCTAGTTTACAGCATGAACATGTAATTTTCTATATAGGACAGATCTACATTTAGATAATGACTGCCATTTCTCATGGCCACATTGTGGCTTTTCTCTAAATACACATTTATAGTACATCCCTAAATGTTTTAGATGACATTCAAGACACTCTTAATGCAATACTGAACAAAACCAACATTTTTTTTCTGCCATCATGAAACATGTTACCTAACCAGATAAGAAAGACTTTAAATAAAAATGTGTGAAGATTGAATTGAAATGAATGCTCCACAAGAAAGCATAGTGTTAAATAGAGTGCATTATAGGAATAGCAAATCAGTTTGGGAATGAGAGACGTTCTTGAGGAAGTCACATTTAACTGATGCCTGAAGCATGAATAATAATTATGAAAGCTAATAGTGCTTACTCTTCCCAGGCGCTATTCTGTGTCCGTATTATATATTAACTCATTTTGACCTCACAACAACCGTATGAGTTAGGCACTGCTTGTTTTCTTCCTCCTGCAGAAGAGGAAACCAGTTAGGCAGTTAGCAAACTTCTCCCAGGTCACATAGCTAAGGAGTACTGAAATTGGGCTCTGAGCCAGAAAACTAGTTACAGGATAGAAATTGGATGGAAATGAATTGGGAAAATCATCTCAGGCAATGGGAATATGTGCGTGAGTACCCTAAAGCAGGAAGGGGAATGAGGTGCTGAATGCCTGGAAGTTGGTGAACTAAAGATCAAATAACAGGGACAAAAAGCTAGAGAGAGAATCTTTATTCAGATTTATTACTATTTTATCACTTAGGCTACAGTATTAAAATACATTGGGAGGGAATAAGAATTTATATGATGAAGAGATTGTTGCAGTAACCTAATGAGATAATACTGGCTTGGACCCAGATTTGGACATATGGAGTAAATTATATAGGTTCTGGAAATATTTGGGTGATAGATGTAGCAGGACTGTATAGTTTTGAGAAAGGCAGATGACTCCAGTTTCTACCTAGAGCAGCTGGCTGGATAGTGGTGCTAAAAGGGACAGACCTGAAGATAAATTATGTTTAGTTTTGTTTCATTTGAGTTTTAGGTGACTTTTACATTAATGCAAGAATTTGGCTATAAAAGCCTGCAGTTCAAAAGAGAATTCTAAGCTTGAGATAACATTTAGTACAGTAGTTTTTCAGCCATGGGAGAGATGAGGAGAAAGCATAGTAAGAAGACCTAGAATCACAAGTGGAGGAACAGCTGTGCTTTTGTTTGGGTAGCAGAGGTGGTGGTCCACAGAGGAGACTAAAGAGAAGGAGCCACTTATGAGTACGGAAAACTGAAGGAATACAGTCTCTGTTTTGATTTTGTGTTAAGATTGTTTTTTCTTTTAGAACTTTACAGTTGCACAAAACTGCTTGGGATTCAACTTTATTGAGTGAGAACTTGAACTTTTATCTAATAGTTTTTTTCTTTTTGTTTTTATTTCTCTTTTTTCTCCTTAAGTGCTTTCAAATTTAATTTTCTTTAAATTTCTATTAAATATTGCTGCAAAGTGCTTTGCTAGTTTTATCCCATGCTATTATATTTTTCCTGTTTAATTGGAATCTTTAATGTAGAAGAGATAGCTTTCATTTATAGCATTTGAAGTTTTTTGTGTGTCAAACTATTCTATGTAATGCTAATGTCTTAGATGTTTCAATTTCCAAGAAGTGATCAGAGACAATGCCCGGCCATGACACCCGTGTGACTGTTGTACCCTCCTCTCTGCTCCTACATGTGAGACCATAGGTTAACCAGCCAATACTGTTATTAGATAAGGTGCAGCTCCTACTCCAAACTTCCTCTTTCCCCTTTTCCCGTCTGTCTTTTCTGCCTGTGCTACTTTTTCATGTTCACCAAACCTTAATTTTTAATTTATCAACCTCTTTGCAACTTTATTTATTTACCTTGGGTCAGTCTGTTATTGTTTTTGTTAATTGTTTAATTTTATTTTTTGTTAAAATGTATTAATTGTGTATATCAATGGAGGCCAGTGTGATATTTCTGTGCACCTTTCCTAGTCATGTACTTTTTTTTCAGTTTCCACATAGGAAAGAGAACATGTCTTTCTACATCTAGGTTCATCCACTTAACATAATGCCATTTCTCTACAAATTGTAGAATTTCATTCTACTTTATGCCTGAGTAATACTCCATTCTCTTCATCCAGTTACCTACAAGTGGGTACCTAGGCTGACTCCATATTTTAGTTACTATGGATAGTGCTACAAAAATATAGTTGTACAAGTATCTCTGTAGTATGCTGATTTCATTTCGTTTGGCTATATACCCAGAAGAAGGACAGCTGGATCATGTGGTAGATCTATTTTTAGTTTTTTGAGGAACCTCCATACTATTCTCTATAATCTTTGTGTTTTATGTTAACCTGCTTCCTTAGGACCCATTTTACATAGAACCTTATAATACCCCAGTTTCTTTTAATCCACACTTCTAAAATAACCTTGCCAAATACCCATCCACTTGTAAACCCTGTTGTACTGATGTTAGTCGCTGGAGATAATGGCTAAGAAAAAAGGTATGCGTCAGAGCTATGCCGTCTTATTCTTAGGTGATTTGTTGGAAAATAAAAATTACATCACAATTTGCATGTGCCTACTACCATTTTATATTATTTAGTCTCAGCTCGACCCATGTTGTTGCAAACTAAATCCAAGTTAATTTTTTGTTTTTCTCCAGACTCATAATTCAGAACATTTCTACTTTTCTCAAATTCTGAATTCAATTTTAAACATTTTGTGTTTAAATCAGACTGTCAAACAATATGGAGGTTCCTCAAAAAACCACCTCCTCAATTTCTCCTTCCTTTCCAAATTTCTTTGTATGTTTTGCTAATATTTTACTTATTCCAGTCTATATCAGAAGAATGATCACTTCTTTTTTCCCAAGGTTAAATATTCTGTTTCTCCTGAAACATATAAGAGAAACTGTAGAGAAAATACAAGTTGAAAAGGAATTATTATATTGATGTGATTTTATTAGATTAATGAGTCTGTATACTTGTTTTTGATATAATTAATTATATAATTAATATGGTGTTTGAAAAGCTCTTCTAAAATGCTATTTGTGCTAACTGTATTAATATTTTCGGTAGAGTGTACTCTTTTTATTAAAGTATCAAATATAAAATGGATTTGCTTTGTTTTACTCAGAAAGACTTGTGGTGGTGGCTGAACACTGTGAACAGAGCCTGGAAGATTTGCTTCGAGAAAGGAAACCTGTGAGGTACTGTGTAATAGCAGGGCAAGTAAATGAAGAGTGGAAACTGGCAAACAGTAAGGCATTTTAACTAGCAATTACGGGGCTTTGTTTCCTTCTGTTACTTGTTTAATAGTAAAAGACAGGTGCAAATTTTCACTCTAAGAAATTTATTTCACAAGTTACATAAAAATTCAAAGTTAACATTATGCGGTGTTCAGGTTTTGTGAAATAGGTAATATTCAAAGTGCCTGAAAAAAACTCCTCAAAAGAACATTGGTACATGCAAATTTGAAATCATCTAGAGTTAAGCATTCTACTACATGAGTAGACTTATCTTGCAGAAAGGAGCTACATGGTAGATTGTCATGGGATACTGATTTTCCTAAGGTACAATGAACTGTAGTAAGCAGGAAGTATTGAGGAGGAAGAAGAGATAATAAACATGACTTGGGTACAATTTAATGATACAATTTGAATTCAGTTATTTTGATGACTTCATGAATTTACTTTGTCTCTTGGCAAGAAGGCTATGTGGTCTAAACTTCTATTGCAAATACACTATTAAGCTATTTCATAGACTTTGTGAAATTATCTTGCCATGACTCATTATAGCATTGTAATTACCTCTTTATATTTCCAAACCTGTGACTAGAGGTACCCCAATGTGTTGGAAGGGGAGAACCCATAAGAGAGATCCCCAGACTATCCCCAGGGTGGGCCAGTTTGGATTCCAAAGAAAGATGCATTAAAAACCAGGGTGATCAGTCCAAAGAAATTATTAGAACTCAACGAATGCTGTAGCTCATTCTGCAGACCTACAACAAGAAATGGCAGTGTTCTCCCTGGTATGTGTGCAGTGAGAGTCAGGGCCTGGTGTTTATATGAGTGTTTAAGGAATTTGGATTCAGAGCTGAGTCCACTTTCTTCCAGGGTTTTGGGCTACATCCTAAATACCCTTATCAGTGCCAGGGAACATTCAAAGGCTTGGCCTGGACAGAAGTCTGCTCAGAAACCCTGCAGCTGGCTGGATCACTGAGTAGTCCGGTGACTCTCATTTTTGTTTCGGACACAGAAATAAATCAGGGGGTGTCGTGGAGTGTCTTGGTTACTTTTCTCTCATTGCTGGGAAAAAATACCTGATGCCCCAAATTAAGGAAGGAAAGGTTCATTTAGCTTACAGTTTGTGGAGGTTTCAGTCCATACTTGGCTGGCTCCAAGGCTGGGTGGCACATGGCAGAGGGCAACAGTTAATTGGGGTGGAACAGTAAAGCAACAAGAGCAAAAAGGGAAGAGTGATCGCAAGCAGCCTCTTCCTCTCCCTTACAAATGCAAACTGTCCGCCCCAGGGCAGGTGTAGCACTCACACCCATAATCCAGCATTGGATCGTGGCTCAATCATAAACTGTAAAAGCCCGCCCCATGACTTTAGGGGGACATCCAGACACAAACCATAACTGGGAGGTTGACAGGGAACTGTTCTAGTTTTTAAAAATAATCTTAGCTTCATTGGTTAATACTTTGTTATCACCACAATATTCTGGATAAAAATAAACTTTTCCAAGGAGAATGTCTGGATGGTGCACAGGCCTGTAATCCCAGCTCTCAGGAGCCTGAGGCAGGAGGATCACCCTAAATTTGAGGCCAGGGGTCCATAATGAGTTAAAGCCAGCCTGAAGTAGTAAGACCCTGTGTCAAAGAATCAAAATTAAATTAAATTAATTTTTAAAAATTAAAACATTTTCCAAGGGAAGAAAAATGTGTACCTTGTTAAATTGTAATAATATTCTAGAAGCAAAACAAGTAAACTGAATGAAAGAACTTTTCCTGGTAGCTGGATGTAGCGGTGTACGCTGGTAGTCTCAGCAGTCTGGGAGGCTCAGACAGTAAGACTGCAAGTTCAAGCTGAGCCTGGGCAATTTGACTATTATGGTTTATATCTAGATGACCCCCCGAAGCCTCATGTGCTCATAGGTGGAGTTTTTGAAATGAGATTGAATTATGGGGCTTATAGCTGAATGTGCAGTGAATAGATGGGACTTGGTCCAAAGATACAGAAATATCGCTGGGGCTGTGACTCCCTCCCAGCTCCCTTGAATCTATGCTTCACAGCCACAGCTCTCCACACACCATGCCTTTTCCTACCTTGGAGGTGGCCCACTACAGACTGAATCCTTTAGAAAATGTGAGCAAATAAACGTCTTCTAAAGTTGCAGGTTGTCCAGTATGAGAAAAGTGCCTGAGATAGTGACCTAACATTACCATCTCTCAAAAATAAAATGTAAAAAGGCAGTGAAGATGTAGCCCAATGAGAAAAACCTGGATTCAATTCATAGTACCACTAAAGGGATGAAGGGAGAGAGGGAGGGAGAGAGGGAGGCAGGGAGGGAGGGAGGGACGGAAGGAAGAACTTTGGTGCTTTAAATGAATTGGTTTTAAGTGGCCTCTGCAAAGAAAACAGCAAATAACATATGCAATGGTATGTCTAATCTGTGGTCCCTAGGTTGGGCACACCTGTGTTATAATAAAAAGTGTAAGAAAATACAGAGATTTGTTACCTACGTGGATCATATTATGGGTTTTATATGTGGCCAACGTTAGTTCCGCTTTACTCAGTGCAGCGCAGGGGTGCTGGCTGTGACCAAACGATGGCCTACAGGACATTCCATCTTTAGAAAGTCTGCTCCAGGTACTAAAGTGACTTTTGTATACGTTAGAAATATAATTTAACCTTACTTAGTGACTATCCTTTCATAGTTAAAGTAATATCACCAATCTTTGACTTTTTTGACAAACATACATTATTATTTTTTGCTCACTAGTTCATATTTATACTATAATTGATAATCCTAAAAAGGATTTTTGGTGAAAGCTGGTTGACATTAAAATTTAAAACTAATTGTAGCTACATCTTTATCTAAGAAAATAATATTTTAACTAAGCCTATGTTCAATTTGTATAAAGATTTACAATATATTATGTGTGATATAAAAGCTGCTAAGTATGCAGCCATGGATAGGCCTCTTAATCATTTTCCATATCTGTAAAATAAGGAATTTCACTTAATATATAGAGCAAATTGTTTTCAAATTAATATCTTACTTAATATTCATTTTACCAGATAATATTATATTGATCAATTGTCCTTATAAGTGTTTTTGTATGTTTTCTTATACTAATATATTAAACTACTACTTCTACTTAAAGGGTAGGTTCCTTGACTGAAGAACCTGTGGCAAATCTAAGTGTAAAACTTCAGGAAGTCCCTGACTTACAAACATTTGAGGTGTGAAGTTTGAGAGGTGTACTGTGTAAGACTCATTTTGTCAGATTACGAATGAATCTGACTTACAAATGTTCTCCAGGAGTGGAACTTGTTTGTAAGTCGGGTACTTAACAGTAGTATAACTTAGGAGGCTAAAAATCAGTAGAAATACCCCTTTTACATACTGGTGATTCCACTTCTAGACACAGGCTCTCTTAAATTATGTTCTTACCTGCCTCACTTTAGTCCCAGCCCTGCCTACACATTTAAGAAAACAACAGGAACAAAAAAAACAACATGTCTTCTCAAAGATTTATAAGAGAAACAGTCCCCAGAAACTTATTATGTTGTAGCTCCAAACTGATGTGAATGCAAATATCCATCACTGATGTTAGCAGATGTTAACAACATAAAGGAGTGAACTGTTGGTACATCCAACACAAGGATGAACTTTTACACTATTGTGCTTAAACAAAAAAAGCTAAAGGATTCTTCTACTTGTGTGACATTCCAAAACAATCAGTATTTATCTATGATGACAGAAAAACATTGCCTCATTTCTGGTTGGTAGAAGGAAGACTAAGAACTAATTCAAAATGGTTTTTTGCATGGCCGGACATGGTGGTCCACGCCTGTAATCCCAGCACTTGGGAGGCTGAGGCAGGAGGATTGCCACAAGTTCGAGGCCAGCCTGGCTACTTAGTGAGTTCAAGGTCCGCTTGAATTACAAAATGAGACCCTGTAAAAAAAAAAAAAAAAAAAAAAAAGATCTTGCAGGGTACTTTTTGAGATGATGGAAATTTCTCACATCTGGATCAGGGTATTATTTACATGGTGTATGCTTTTGTCAAAACTCATTGAAATACATGTATTTCAATAAGTAAACTATACCTGTTTCCAAAAGATGCAGAATTACTTATTTGGCTTGGGTTTTGAATGCCTTATAAAGAAACATTCCATTATTAATGGAGGTGCTCAGTCTAGTAGCTCACTTCCTTGTATTTCAGGCTTTGAGAAGATACAGTATGAATTCATTATTGCTTACCCACCTATCCCCATATCTAGTGATTTTGTTTTACCACATATTATTTTTTTGGGTCCGGAATTCAGGAATGGTTCTAGTTTAGGATGTAAACTACAGGATCCCAGTCAAGATACAGGGTGGGACTGTGGTCTTCAAAAAGTCTGACCAGGGGTGGTGATCTGTCCCTAAGACAGTTCACTCAAAAGACAGTGCAAGTTTTCCACAAGAAGCTTTGGTTCTTCCTTCTGTTGAATCACATGCTGCCCAACTGTTCTCACAAAGTAAAGACAGCAAGGCTAGATTTGCAGTGCCTTTTGAGGCCTAGCCTCAAAATCCATACTGTCATTTCCACAACACCTGTGCTTGTGCAGATCCAATTTTAGCTCTGCTCACTGTCGGGGGAACCATTCAAGAATATGAACTTGGGTAGTCAGGTTCATCTGGGACCTTCTTGAGGCTGGCTAACGTACAAATTGTAGAGATTGTATAAGAACTATTATAATAAGAGAAATGTTAAAATAACTTTAATACCAACTGGAAAATAATTGAAGTTTATTAAATTATTCAATATTTACTTAGAGTATTTAGGGCAGGAGAAAGGATGGAGTTTGTACTACAAAGAATGAAGTGTTAAGGGAATATTCATAAGTACCAGGGTGGGATAGGATCTTCATGAGCAATAATGCTATGCCATGGTAAGAATTCAGCTACCTCCTGAGATGCTTATTGGCCGTGGTC